AGAATTTTTTTTGATGGAACATAACATACATATTGATGTTAAAGATGAAATCTGTAATGTACCAGAGTCTGTTCTTGACACTTTTTGCTTTGGATTTTCTTCTTCTAAGAGGAAGCATGTAGTAAGTTGTGGTAAAGTCAAGTGTTGGAGAAGAATATGATTTGATATGGATTTCTATTCAAAATTTCTCTATAATGAGGCCAATGTTAATGCTATTTTTTTAATGTTAATGCTATTTTTAAAAAAGACTAAAAAAAAAAAAAAAGAAAGAAAAAGGCTAGACCAGAGATTTAGCTCAGCAGCATAAGTACCTTCTTGGCAAGCATGACGTGAGTTTGACCCATGGTGAAAAACAAAAATAAATAAACAAATAAATAAACTCTAAGTTCAAAAGGTTAGACCTAATGTTTTAATTATCAGTTGTAATTTTTATTGAAGTATAACTGCATTGCAATAATATATATTTTTAATTTTTTATTTAAAGAAAAATACAGAAAAAGGGTGGAAATAATACATAATTTTAAAAAAAATAAGAAATATCTAGTTGATGATTACATATTGTCCTCTTACAAATAGGTGTTCAGGTTACAAAAGTGAAACATACAATGTGGACATTCAAATAGCGACACTGCAAACAGTTCTGTTCAACTATCCAACAAAAACTTAGTACTATAGTTATGAATCCGACACACTTAAACATACATGCAGTTATGTCCTTTAGAGCACTTTCTTTTCCTCTGTTTTTTACAATAGCAAATACACATTTGAGGTTTTATTACTCCTACATTTTTTATTACTTTTTATACGAGAGACACAATGTGATATTTATAAATATGATTCTTATTTATTTCACTAATGAGGATAGCCTCAAGTTGTCTCTGTTTGCCTATGAAAGCTTCAAGATCATCCATTTTTAATATATGTAATTTGATAAATATTTACACATCAGTATATTCATAAACCATTCTTATAATCAAGACAGTGAATATATCCATCTTCCCTCAGATTTGTTTATACCTCAAAATGAAAAACAACATTCATCAGTACTAGCCATTCTAGAGATGCAAATTAAAACAACACTGGGATTTCACCTCACCCCAGACAGAATGGCTGATATTAAGAAATCAACCAATAACAAACACCGGAGGAGCTGTGGGGAAAATGGACTCCTTCTCCCCTGTTGGTAGGATGCAACCACTGTGGAAATCAGTGTGGAGACTCCTCAAAAAACTAGGGTTGGAGGTCTCTTTTGACCCAGCTATTCCCCTTCTGGATATCTTCCCAAAAGATTTAAAAACATCATACCACAGTGATATATGTGCGCCCATGTTTATAGCAGCCAGTTTATAATAGCCAGATCTTAGAAACAACCTAAATGTCCGTCAACTGAAGAATAATTTAAAAAGATGTAGTATTTGTATATAATGGAATACTATTCGACCATAAAGAATGACAAACTGGACATTTTTATAGGTAAGTGGATGCACCTCAAAATATACTTATTAGTGAAGGAAATATGCAATGCATTCATAATCATGGCACTGTTTCATTAGTTTGATAAGGAAAAAACCATGTACTTTGTCCCAGAAAGAATGACTTCAGCCAAGCAATGACTTACGCAATACCTTCCTTCACTTTAACTAAACCCACTGTGAGCCATTTTGAGTTGACTTTTGGATGTCTTAAGAAATGTTTGATGTGCCATAAGGTTTGGGGTTTTTGTATGTGGACATCCAGTTGTTGCAGTACAGTTATTGTGGGTGCAACCCTTCCTCCACTTAACTGCTTTTGCATCTTTGCCAGATGTCTGTATTGGGACTTCATCTTGGTACCTTGGTGTTTGTCTGTCTTGGTATAATGCCATTTGTTCATGATTGGTGTAGGGTGGAGCTCTGATTTTGTTCTTTTATCAAAGTTGTTTAGACCTTTCTGAGTCTTTTTTATTTTTATAGAAATGTAAGAATCAAAATGGTAATCTATATGAAAAATGATCTTCATAGTTTGATAAGGAATTATGTTGTTTGATCTTTATTATTTCTTTTATTAGTTTTTTGTTTCATTCTGTCTTTTATTTTTAAGAAAACATTTAAAAAATTAAAAAACTGAAAAACAACAAGAAAGCAAACAAAAGCCCTTTATTTTAGATATTTACCTGTGGGGCCACGGATTTAGCTCAGCAGTTCAAGTGCCTGCCTGGCAAGCATGAGATCATGAGTTTGATCGCTGGTACCAAAAAAAAAAAAAAAAAAAAGAAAGAAAGAAAATATTGGTCTGAAAATGTTTTCTCTTTTTCCAGGTCACAGTGTCACTATAGATATTTGTAGACAGGTGAAGTGTAACACATTACTATTCATTTATCTTCCATACTATAAGTATACTTAATTATAGTTACTGTTATCTCTTAGTAACTGCGTCTTTTTAGCTTTCTGACTCCTAATAAGAAGCTCTTCGAGGATGTGAGCCCTGGACTGTTCCCTGAGTCCCTGCTGGTAGAAGATGGAGCCCAGGAAAAGCCCATGAGTTTGGCAGGTGCGTGGCTGAGCGGAGGCACTCGTGGAAACGCTTGGGGTGACTCCCTGGGTGAGGGAGTGGGCCAGACAGCCCTCAGCCCCGGGAGCCTGGATCAAGCAGGATTTCATTGCCTGCTGCGGGGACCTGGCTTCCCTTCCCTCTGATGTGGAGCAGGCAGCTCTTACAGAAGGACCTCAACCCTTTTGTCTCCTGCGATAGGATGTCTCAGCCATGCTGTTTCTACCGTGCGGAGGGGAAGCTGCTGATCCCATGGAGAGGAGCAGGCCGTCGGATCCACTGGTCTGGAACTCGTGGAGGTGCCTTGTGACTGTGAGTGCTGATGGAAGTCTGGGTGCTCAGCAGTTAGGCGTCATGAAACACTGTGTCCCTGGGCGGGATCTGAGAAGGTGCAGCGGAGAAGCAGGAGGCCGTCTCGGAGATAATTGTGGGTTTGTTGTGGGGCTTGACCTCAGCACCTGTGGAAGCTGGTTCAGGAGGTCTAAGTCTTTCTGACTGGTGATGGATTTGAGGGACACGGGGCAGACAGTCAGAGGGAAAGACAGGTGGAAAGTGGGGGGAGGAAGAACACACTGGAGCCCACAAGCATGGATGAGAAGGGGACAGAGAGAGACGGAGGCCCTCCCCTGGGCTCTGGCGGCCTCTGCCATTGGTGACATGGGTGTTGGGCAGCAGCCAGAGCCCCTGGGCCGGAGCTAAGGTACTCACCTGGCCCGGGCTGTGGACTGCCGCAGGGCAATCCGCGAAAGATGGAGCAATCTCGGCCTGGCAGCTGCCACGCAAACCAAACATAAGCAGCCGTGTGTTGCAAAATCATTGCTGCTTCCCTTCGCTGGCCAGGTATGCCAGAGCCGCTCTTCCACTCGGAGAGGAAAGGGAGGAACAGAGAGGAAAGGGAGTTCTAGGAAAAGTAATTCAAGGTGGCCAATGAGATACATTACAAACCCACCGAAAGCGGTGGACATAGTGAGATCATAGGTTTAAATCCCACAACACTCGAAAATTAAAGAGCTCAGAGCTGGACTTGGGAGCAGATGCTCATCATCCCAGCACTCTGGGGAGCCTGAGGCAGGAGGATGGCAGGTTCTAGCCCAGTGTGGGCAACTAGCAGCTTCCGGAGACATTACCTCAAAATAACAAAAGAGTGTGTGAAGGCCCTGAGTCTAAACCCCAGTGCCACACTCACACACACACACACACACACACACACACACACACACACACACAGGTCAGGTATAGGAGGGTTCCCAGGAAGGAGCAGCCTTGTTCATGGCCCCCTGGTTAGTACTGCTTGCAGAGGAAGTGATGTTGGAGCTGGGATGAGAGACCGAGGTCTTGCGCTGAGGCTGGATGGCCCAGGTGAGAGAATGTCACCTCGGCGAGAGCCTGCTCTGCCCCGGGCGCCCTGCGCCTCACCCAGACTGTTTTCCGGAGTCAGGTGATCCTACTCAAGTCGCTGTCAGCCGGGTTTTCCTAGCACTTGTAACTGATGAGTGGCGTGAGAAGGGCAGAGGCGAACAAATGCAGACCGGCCGGGCGCAGACAATGGTTTAAACCATTTTACCTGAAAATCGCAGCTCAGAGATGGCCGCTGGCTACAGCACAGTGTATTCAGAGAAAGACTTATTTTTAAGATGAGAAAGTTACTCATCTCTATGAGTGAGGTTAGGGATTATTTGATCCTGGAGAAAAGAACTCAATCAATGCAATGAACTATACTCTAAATAATGGGGAAAATTATGGGAGAAATACTTAAAGTAATTTGACTGTTCCTTTAGAATGGCAGAGTTTTATATTTGATTTATATCTATGTGAAGGTTAATATTGTAGTTTGTAAAAAGAAGGAACAACTCTGACAATTTAAGCAAATTTGCTTTTTTTTTTTTTTGTCTTTTTAAGACAGGGTCTCTCCATGCAGTTCAGGCTGGCCTTGAGCTCACTTGATAGCCCAGGCTGGTCTCAAAGTTGCAACGATCTTTCTGCCTCAACCTCCCAAATGCTGGGATTATAGACCTGTGCAACCATGCCTGGGAATTTTTTTTTGTCATAAATTCTTTGTTACCAGAAAACATGGTATGTCATGTTTTCAATGTTATACAACTTACCTCATTGAAAATAATCGATAAACTAGACTTTTATTTTTAAAACTCACCTTATTTGGGAAATAATGAATTTGATTTTCACCCTTATTTGTAAAGCACATTGTTGCTTCCTGCATTTCAGGTTGTCTAAAGTTTACCAAGTTCACAGCAGCAGCACACTGCACTACTTAGTTTTTTCTTATTTAACTGCTAAAATTTTACTCAGTAAGGCTGGGCATGGTGGTGCACCCCTATAATCCCAGCACTTGAGAGGCCTGCACAGGAGAAGCACTGTAAGTCTGAGGCCAGCTTGAACTTTTTAGTGAAACTCTGTGTCACAAAGATTAAAAAAACAAAAGATTCACTCAGAATTTTTATTGAAATTCCACTTTATATCTTCTTTTACATTCACAAGTGATCTACATTCCGATCATCAAACAATGTACTGAAATCCCCATAGTTAATCTTTTACATAGTTCTATGTACATCCATGATAGTATCTCAGCAACCATCGTGATTCTTAGCCTTTTGTAATACAGAGTAAAACTCTAGGCTGAAAATATTCTTTCTGTTTAGATCTCCGAGAAAGATACTGTCTTATTTTGTTTTTATCATTTGGCAAGCAGGTGGGGTGAGGTTGGCACTAGACTACTTGATAAGTTCTCTTCATAGTTTTGCATTATTTATTTCCTATTATAAACACGGTTATATAAAAAGGTATGTAACAATTATATCATTGTCCCATGGTATTAGTCATGTGAGAGATGCTTTGCTTATGAGATCGGCGTTAGGAATCCAGCCTGATTAAAAGCAGACTATCGAATTTTCAAGTGGTTTTATTAAATTCTAATCAACACATCTTTACAAGATATATTTTCATATTTGTCATTTCTGTTTCTGAACATTTATGGCCATCTTTTCAAAATTTTAAAGGATTTGGTAAGTATATCCAGGACCAAGATTTTAATGTCGTAGATTTTAAATAATCTATGAAAATACTAAACCCTTCCTCCAAGCAGCAGGACCCAAGCTGTTCAGCATGAAAAGTGGCTGCGTTTGAACATTTGCACTGCCCAGAGCTGGCCCAGCCTTCATCTCCTCGCTCACTGGAAACAAATTGTGAACACAAATAGTTTTGCAACTGCAGCTGCCTGAACAGTGGACATGTAGTACCAGTGCCGGCCTCCACATGGGGCTCGTGTTATGCACTGGCCTCAGGTCCAGCGCCCTGCTGAGGCAGGACAGCCCTCACAGTGCCCCTCAGAAGCAGTCTCAACAGAACAGCAGAGTCAAGCAAAAACGCTACCCCCGGAGTCCTCCCTTGTGTAAAATCTGGCTCATGTATTATAATTCAGACAAATCGTCTGTGCACATTTTAATAAGCTAAGAAAAAAGTGACATGAAATGGTGAGTCCAGCTGTCCTGCTTCATCTCCAGGATCTCAGCACTGGGCTCAGCCTCACTTTCTGTGTCCAGACCTCGTGCTTTCTCTGCGGTGGAGGGCTGCTGGGAGGGTGGAGGAGGAGGGAAGGCCGAGGAAGAGGGTGTCTGCCGGGTTGTTTCCTGGGTCGTTATGAGCCTTTTAAGTCTTTGAAAATTCACTTTCAAAGCCAAAATATGACTTATCTTAAATATTCTGATTTTCTATTGCGTTCTTCGCAACTGTAAAGTTCGTGTTTGTTTCCATATAACAGGAAAGGGGTGATGGTGGGCGAGCGATGTGTAGCATTTCACATGTGTTTGCCAACTGCACAGCAATCAGAGGCACAGAAACCTAAGCAAACACCTGCCTGGTGCTTGGTTTCCGTCCAGCTGAGCAGCGGTAATTGCCTTGGCTTTGTCTGTCCCTTCCTCTTCACCTTCCAGGATGGGCTCTGCACACACGGGCCATTTGCACCCCGTCAGGACTCAGTGGGTAACCGAAGCAGTGACCCAACTGATTCCTGGCAGGGAACTGTTTCACCCTCTAAGGACCTAGAGTGCCTTGTACTCTCAATACGAATTTACCGGGGAAACCCCTAGTGCCTGCAGTGGAAGTAGAATGGAGATTATAGGAAAGTGAAAGCTTCAAGACTGAAAATAAGTTCATAAAGTAATTAATGGAATTATCTCTTCCTTCATCCCTCCCTTTCCTTTCCTTGCTTCCTTAACTTCCTTCATTGCTTCCTTTCTCAAAACTAAACAACTAGCAACTGAACTGGAAGACAATCACCCCCAACAACTTACACTCTTTTAACAGTCATATAAGCCACTAAGTCTCAATATATTATGGAAGTGCCTTTTAGATGTTTTTAAGTTTGGAATGCTGCCATTTTTAGGAATTCTCTATACCCCATAAAGAAGAGTACAATGAAACAGTCCAGGACCTGAAGATTAAAGAATTTGCAGAATTAGAGACACGCACACTAATTCCATTTTATCACCGGAAGAGGATGAGGAGCGTAATCGCTCTCTGATTAAAGTCCATTAAAGCCAGTGTCTCGGTCAAAGGCTTCGCTTTCTTATCAGGCACCTAAAAGATGAGAATAAACCTAGTATAAGTCAAACACAGACACGAAGAATTTGAAAATTTTATGAGGAGCGACTTTGCTTAGACACTATGGATCTTCCTTGTCTTTTAGAGTAGCTGGTCCACCTGGGGATCTGTGGTCAGTGTAGGGTTTGGGGGTCCTCTTGATGACATCAGAGGATGCCAAATGAACCTGCAAGCCAGGTGGCTGGGTTGCAGCCTGGTGGCACCCAGTGACAGGATGCTCTTTCCTGGGAATGTTGCCTACAGCCTCAGAACCAGGGGTAATTCAGTTATCTCTTTGCTGCCCCCTCCCTGGGACACTGAACGTGAGAAACTCCTGCTTTGTTACCTGAGCATGTGGACTGGATGCTCATGCAAGGATCGGCAGCAGCACTGCTGCAGCAGCTGCACGGGGCACTTGAGCAGCTCCGGACTGGACATCCCTGGAATAGCAGGGCTCGCAGTAGGAGAGGACGGATTAGAGGGGCTGAAATTCCACGGCTACCATAGAGAAATTTTATCTTTGGCTCTAAAAAAGATTCAGCGTTGTTGCTATTTTGATACTTTGGTTTGTGAATGGTTCTAACCATAACATGCTAAAGTCCTATGGTGTTTGCTTAAAAATAATATTCATGAGATACCTTTTTGTGTGTAGTGCTCACTTGGAAAGGCTAAGGCCGTGTCTGTCTTCGGCCCCTAGTCCCCAGTGCCCATGTCTCACCTTGGCAGCGTCACCGACTCCCGCTGGAAGGAGTCCTTCCGTGGTGGACAGAAAGTCACAGCATCAGTGACTTTGGAACATTCTATGTCTGTCTAAGAGTGTGAGTCCCCAGGCAAGTTAAGGAAAGCAAGCAAACAAAAACAAACAAACAAGCCACCCAAGTGGCTTAACAGAACCCCTGTGGTTCGGGCTCATGTAAAGTTTGTAAGGCTCTGGGAAACTTTATGAGACGCTATTCCTGGGGTGGTTGTTCAGTGACCCAAAATGCTTCAGTCTTCTTCAGAGGCTGCCCCCCATTTCAGTGTTAAGTGCTCCTCTTCTGCTAAAGAAAGAACACAAGAAAGAAAAATGTCTTCGGAGAGCCCCTGCCCCACCTCAGCTCAGATGTGACATGTTACTTCCGCTCACAGGACACGTGAAGAACAGCTGAGCCAGAAGGACCGCAGAACGGCTTCACACGCTGCTGCCCAAGGGCAGGCTGCATCTCACATGTGTCCAGAAGGGTGGAGTGTTTCCCAGGGCTCGGAGGGGCAGTCTCCAAAGGGTGCGAGATCACTGCAGGTGGCCCAGAGGCAAACATTCACAGTTCTTTTTGGTTTTGCCTGTATCTGAAAAGAATCAGTGGCACCTCAAGTCTTTAATATAATGATTCATTTTATACAGATTTAAGTCGAAGTTTATTATGTTATTAGAATGAAAATAATTAACACAGCAAGCAAATACCTGACGGCTGGGTGACTCTGACCCTAAAGAATCTCTTGTAAAATTCAAGTGTTTGTCAGTGTGTAACACTGGGCAAACTGGGAACACGCGTGGGGACAGAGGGACCCACTCTTTTTTCAAGTGTCCGCCTGGTCAAGAACACAAGGTCTGGGGCCACCTACTGTTCCGGAAGAACACATGAGAGATCATTTTTCTGCTGTTAAAGTTTGGGGAACCAGTGACAAAACCCACCACTCAAGTATGAGGCGCACCGGATGACAAACCACATCTGAGACTGTTTTTCCTCCTGTGGCTAGGACAAGCAGCAGGCACCCCATCCTCACCAGCATGCCCTTCTCACCTGAGTCTGGTACTGTTCTAAACGCAGCCTAGTTCCTCTCAACTCAAATACGGTACCCCTGAATATCATTGTCAATTCCAAGGCCTTTCAGCTCACCAAAACGCCTCACTCACTATTGGTGGCAGTTAGTGTTTTTAAAAAAGTGTTTCCATTTCTGTGTTTCCAAGGGTGTTTACAAACCTCCAAGTCATGTGATTCTGATGTTCCAATTGATCTATAGTATTTTTGGTTTGTACGTATCAACAAAGCTTCTTTTTCTATAGAAAACCATCTTATTTGGATAATAACTTATCGGTGACCCTATTTCTGAGGGTTTTCGTGTTTTAGTTTATGATGTGAATGACAAATTTGATCAAACAGACCTTTCTTTTATCCAAAACTGGTGGCTCAGGTCCCACGAGGGAAGCTAAACTAGGGATAGTTCTAGAGGTGCAGCTTTTTAAAAGTTACGTTATGGCATCATTGTCATGCTTTCTTTAGGACAGAGAGAGGTAGACGGACACACAGAAGGTTAAAGGGTGCTTACAGCAGCAATGATGATTGACGGATGCACAAAGCACGTTTTGAGCGGCCCCAGGAATCCAGTGCGTAGGCATGGCCCTGACCCAACCTGAAGGGTAACACAGCTGGAGGCAAGCCTCGGCTTTCAGGGCGCAGCCACGCCCTGTGCACATGCAATGGTGGAGCTGAGGCTCAATGAAATGGTGCAAAGCCTTCCTCGCCCAACTCCACAATAAAGCCCGGATGATCTGTGGAGTCTTACGTGGACTTGCACTTGCATGGGGGCCGCGTTTATAATAAAAGTTACAGGCACCACATTTACTTTTCTCCCAGGTCCTGCCACGAGATAATGCACATCAGCGTCTCCCTGTCCTTTGTAACCCTAACCCTAACCCTGACCCTAACTTCAGTCCTGGAAGAAAGTACAGGAGCGTTTCACAGGGACAGTGTAGCACTGTCAGGTCTGCAGCTCAGCAGCCTGGCTTTCAAACTCCCCGGCACCTACAGAGCGCACCGCAATTCCAGGTTTTAAGAACCTGCGTGGCTCAAGCGCAAATCATGTTTAGAGTCGGTTAAAGTCCGTAGACCCGCACACATCTAGTTATTTATAGTATCCAGCCACACTGACATTTTGCTAAATACAGTCTGCTAGGATAAGGACGTGTCCCACTGGATAAAAGTAGGGGACGCCTGGCTTCACTTTTGGCTTCGTAGATGAGTGAAGCACTGTGCTGACCTGAGTTATCATTTTTGTTATAATCACATGGTTTAAGCACATCATTCCCCAAACGCGTCCACAGCCATCACTACTAAAAATGTGGAATTAAAAAAATTACCACAGTTCACACTGTTCGTGCACCATTTCACCCCCAGTACCAGACCCAGCACCTCGGGGTCTAAGGTTCTCTTCCATTCCAGCCCAGGCGAGGCGGGGAGCCCCTGGCTGAGCTCAGCTCCCCGGAGAGGGGTCCTGCCAACGGCTGGGTCGCCGGCCTCCGCACCCCGCGGGAGCCCCCCACCGCGCCCTCCAGCTTCTCCCCGGCGTGGGGCGGAGTCGGTGACTCTGCCGCCGACCCCGCCCGCGCCGTCCCCGGCTGCAGAGGGAAACTGAGTCCCGACCCGAAGGCGAGGGCGGCCGGGGATGCGCGGTGCAGCCACGCAGAGCGGAGTCACCCGCAGGCCAAGTTGCGTGGAGTCGGGCTCGGCCCTTGGCGCGAGCGTGCGACCCCGCGCGTGGGCCCGCGCGCCCCGGGCCGAGCTCCTCCTCGCCGGGTCCCCGCCCCTGCCCTCCCCTCCGCTGCCCTCCCCCTCCCCTCCAGCTCTCCCCTCCCCCTCCCTGCTCCCCCTCCTGCTCTCCCCTCCCCCTCCTGCTCCCCCTCCCTCTCCCCTCCCCTCCCCGCGCTCCTCCCCCGCCGGCCCTGCTCCGCGCACAGCCGCCCCGCGCTGACACCTGGCCGGGACCTGCGCGCTGACAGCGGCTCGGGCGGGCGCACAGCGCAGCGCGCGTGGAGCCGTCCCGCGTGGAGCGCGCCATGGGCCCCGCCGCGCGCGCCGCCGCCCTGCTGCTCTGCGCCCCGCTGCTGCGGCTCTGCGCCCCCGGCCCGGCCGCCGACGCCCCGCGGCCCCGCCTGCGCCTGGCGCACCGAGGTAGGCGACCCGCACCTGGACGCCGCGCCCGCCGGCCCGGTGCCGACCCGGTCCCGCCCGCGCTTGCCGTGCCGGTGCCGGTGCCGGTGCCGGTGTCGGTGCCGGTGCCGGTGCCAAGTCCGCGGCGGAGAGGGGTCCGCGGGCGGGGACCGGGCGCCGGGGTTTGGGGAGTTTTTGTTTGTTTTGTTTTCCGTAATGGGGAGGGAGGAGAGCACAAACTCCTCGAGGGAAACGGTGCCCAGCCCGTGATCACAGTCACCGCCGAGCAGTTAGGAGACTCCTGCGCCTTACCTTCCCCTCGAGTTCACTGCTAGGCTATTTCTATAGGTGGCAGAATAAACCGAGTTGACTGGTGGTCGTTGTAAACTGACATAAATGCTGTAGTATTCGCTAGAGTCTATTTCCGAGCGCAGATTCATCGTGCTGCGCTGATGACGGGCTATCAGAGTGTTTAAATATTTTATTCAGCAATTATGTCTTGTAAAGCAATATCGTACTCATAAATAAATGATCAAGTAGGTTTTGTGATCAGACAGGTAAAAGCCGATCGCGAACAGGTTTGATGACTGCCCTGTCAACCAACAACAAACAAAACCTGGGCTCTGAGACAGTGCTGGCACTGAGGAAAAGAAATTTGGAATAAACTCCGGGAAGAAGTGTGTTGTTATTCCTAAGCATCGAGGGGTAACAGGCGCAGTAATGAGGGTTACGTAAGACCCGTGTGCCCATTGTGTAAGCTTCATATTATTCCCTACTATGGAAAAACAAAGCTTGTGGTTTCTAAATATAGGGGGGATATTTAGCAAAAGGTGGAACATAGGGAGGCTCCGGTTTATGTGATAGGATTCATCTTCTTACCTCTTACTGCGCAATGGAAAAGGTCATGTTGACTGGAAAGGGTTATTTTTGGAGTAGCTGAAGCCTGAAGTACTTTGGTAGTTTAGAAAATGCCTTGGGACACTGTCCTGTAGGTAACAGTGCACTTAGGAAGCACAGTGGTGTAGACTTTGTGTTTAAACCTGATACCCAGCTGCAGCCTAGGTATTTTGACTCGGGAAGGTGCAGGACGTCACACCCTGTGGCAGAGTCTTTATTTCTCAGAAGTATGTTCAGATACAACAAGATGTAAAAACATTGCGATGGGCTGTGATAAAAAGGGCTTCAAGAAATAAATGCACTAAACTGATTGTTTTTCTTACCTAAGCAAGTGTCACAGCCACCAGATTGGTGAACCTGGTCCAGCTCTGCCCACCCTGAGCTCCTCTCCTTGGGTAGGCGGTTGGTGGTCAGGCGCTGCAGGCCCGTGTGTTTCCCAGGTGCACACCAGACACTTCCCACAACCACTCCTCACCTGGTGGTGTGGCAGAACTCTGACTCAGGTGAACGCTGCCCACAATGCCTTTGTAGGCCCCTCGGCCCGTGTCTGTAATGACAGAAATCACCCTCACTGATGCCATGAGTTTTGTTGTGCGTGGGGGAGCAGGACCACCAGGCGCTGTGTGTGCACTAGACTGACGCCCATGGGGCTGCTACTGCATCTTCCTAAGCTTCCGATTGGGTAGAGCGGGCTGGAAATGCACCAGTGTGCGTCTATGCTAAGACGACAGAGTTCCTTGCAAAGAAGCTCTTCCTCGTGCAGGTCAGCTGGCGAAGTGAGAGATCACAGCAGAGAGATGCAGCCTGCAGCAGCCAGACCTGCTGCATGTGCCGTGCCTCAGTGGACAGGAAATCCCAGTGTGCGTGAGCCAGGCGCATGCAGGCCAGCCAGAGCCTCTGGAGCAGCCCACTTCCCCCTCTCTGCTCCTGGATTTGGGGGACATTTCAGAGGTCTTCAAAAGCCATGACTCAGGCAGTATTCAGAATCATCTTGCCCTGTCTTGGATGACGTCAGAATTTTCATGACTAGGTGAAGTTAGATCATTAAAATGCAGTTGAATGAGGAGTCTTTCCCAGTGAGAGGCACTGAGTACAGGTGCTAGCGCCCCTCCGTCCGCCAGACCCTAGGGGTAACCCCAGGCTCCTTAAGGATGCCTCCTGGGTGTACCCCGGAGAAAGGGTGTCCTCTACTTCTAAGTGGAGTCTGAGAACTGAAATATCTCTTCCTGAGAAGGAGGAGAAAGTTTAGATGCCGTACTTTGGGTTAATGTGCAGAGAAATATGTTCAGGAAGCTGCAGGCACAATTCTCCTTTCTCTCTCTCTCTCATTTCCTGCTGCTTCCAGAAAGGACAAATTCTTAACTAGAGCTGGAGAGGAAGGAGCCATGTCAGTTAAAAGGAAAAAAGACAGAGCAAGAGAGGAAGACAAGGAGGAGAGGCCGTGGAGACCGGACGTCTTTTAACCTCCTTCCACCGCCCTCCACCTGCTACAGAGTGATGCCAGCTTCCTTCTCCTGCTTATCACACGTCTCCTCCCCCCTCAGTGTTGAAAATGCATCACGTACAGCAAGTGGAGGGCATGAAAACACAAGCTAATTACTCCTGTCATACATTTATACATACGCATATGTGTCTCCATCTTAATGCGTTTTTAGGCAAAATCATCAAGTTTACACCTAAATTACAGCAGAGACCAAAATGGCAAGGTGCTGTCCTGCTCTGCAGGAATTTTTAGCAGGATCTGAGCTGAAGTTACCGGTATCAGGCAAATCCTTACAGATTTATGAGTACTCATGCACTGTAGCTAACTTTGTCTCAGCTACTAAAAGTAATATTGCTGGGATTAATACAAAATTATAGTATTTTGCTCCAAGAGTTGTTTTTTTATTTGTCTTTTTAAACTTACTGAAATCCTCGTGATTGATCAAGGGAAAAGAAGAAAGAGGAGTCCAGGAGGTTGAGTCACTTTCCTGTGGTGACAGCTGGTCTCACCTTATCTTTCACTATCTTATATTAAAGAGTTTCAAGGAAGGCAACAATAACTGTCTTGATAATGGACTTAAAAAAAAAAAAAAACCAAAAAACACGTAAGCAAAGACTGAGGTCACAGAAAAAACCCATTGTGTGTGTCATAAGGAAGGGAGGATTGATCAGGACAATTCATTCAAGGGAGTTTAGCAGATAAGGTAGGAGTCCAAAGTCCCCAGGAGGAAGATGCAGCAATCCAGAAGCCAAGGAGAATGGTTTCTTACAGAGAAAGTTCTCCTAGAGTATTCAGTGGCAGCTTAGGAAAGGCACGAGAATGGCAGAAGGTCAAGCCATAAACATGTGGGTATTAATGGCATGGTGGTGCATGCCTGTAATCCCAGCACTCAGGAGGCTGAGGCAGGAGGATCCCTGTGAGTTTGAGACCAGCCTGGGCTACAAAGTGAGCTCAAGGCTGGTGTGAACTGCATAGAGAGACCCCGTCTCAAAAAGAACATGTTGGCACTGTAAATGGAGATTCAAGCACTGAGCATACATTCATACATACGGAACATGGTGAAGAGAGTAAATTAGGATGTCTGCAGTAGCGTATTTTAACTGTGTACGGGTTTATCGGGGTCCTGAGAATTTAAGATCCCACTCCAGCTCTGTCCCTCCTACATGGTGATGCTGATTGTCTGTGTCCTCAATTTGAAAAACATGAAGAGTGGCAGTGCCCTGTTTGATTTGGTGCCCCGTCATGACATCGAGTGGGCGTTTCCTAACATTTGTGGCCTGCGTCTACACTGTGAAGCACACACGTGTCCCTTTATGGCACCTACTTTGTGTCATACATCTTAGCACTGCTTCTGTGTGTAAGATAGAGGACGCAGGACTCCGAAGGACACAATGCTACATAAGTTTTAAGTGACCTTCCTGCAGGCTGTGCAATGTATTTTCCATCCAGACCGAGGAAAGCACTGGGCAGCGACAGAGCCAGTGTTTCCTGACAGCCACTGTCAATAGTGACCTTAGGCACACGTCCCGTGGTGTGGATAAGTAAGAACTGGTCACACGGGCGATCCATCTCAGCAGTTACTGAAGCCCAGCGGCAAACGTCAGCCTCTGCTCCAGAGCTCCGTCAGGGAGACTAAGCGAGAAGCCAGGGACAGGTTCCTTACAAACGTTTGTGTTTTACAAGGCCCTGGTTAGACGCAAAGACCACGGTACAGTCAGTCGAGCCTGTTTACACAAGACACGCTGTCTGAAGAAGTGCGGGTAAGGATGTAGATTTAGGGCTATTTTAGTGCTATTTTAGTGCTGTTTTTGTTCCTTTGGTTTTATATTTGCTACAAACACTTCTTATGGGTTACATCAGTGAACTGGGGTGAAAGACTCTGAAAGGTTGTGTGAATTATTCGGTTCTTATCAGGACATTGCCTATTACAGTGGGAAGACGTTTACTCCTCAGTAAATACATAGAATGAGGAGGGAGCTCAGGATAGAATAAACTAAAATTGGAATTTATAAGTGATCTGGACAAATTTTAAGTTGGAGAATTATTTGTGTGAGTGCAACTGTTTTTAAAAAGTTGGTGAGTGTAGTCCACGTGTAGCATACAATCCATCTCCATTCTTTGTTGTTGTTGTTCCGGGAATCGAACTCAGGACCTCATGGTTGCCAGACACTGTGCTGCTGGGCTAATCCCTGGCCCAGTAGATGTTCTTGACTAATAAATATATGCCACAGTTAGGATTTAGTGAGCTGTCCTTTGAGAAGGGGTGTGGCCTTGGCTTTATTTTGCTCTCCGGGTCAGACCGTCAGTCAGCCTGCTGCTGTTGCACAGGGAGGGCCCCGTTTCCCCCAGAAGGGCGCACAGCCCTGTACCAGCTGTTCCATACCCACGTCAGGATGCACCTGACTGCCACATTGGCGCTGCTCGTGGAAGCTCTGAGCAGTCTGCTGAGTCAGGTTAATGGAACAGAAATATCGGCAGGAGTCACCACGGGGACTTGGTGGGGGAGAGGGCACTGTTCACCCCTTTACCTCCCACCGTCTGTGGTCTGTGGAGGGAGTCACCCTGCTGGTATCCGGAGATGCGGTGGTACTCTTGCCTCTCACAGCTCACCGCCAGCATCCTCTGCCTCCTTAGTTCAGAA